TAACAAGCTATCAGAGGATGCTAGGATAGTTATAGAAATGCATTAGGTGGCGGATTGTACTGCCCCAAATCTGCAACAAGGCTGGGTTGTGGCTTAGTGGTAAATTGCTTGCCTGGCATGTGTGAGGCCCTGGGTTCCATTCTCGGCACCACATATAAATAAATAAAATAAAGGCCCATTGACAACTAAAAAAAAAAAGTACTTAAAAAAATCACAGCATCAAGTATCTCCCACCCCACATGCTCTTCATAAAATATAACTGACATTTCCTTCATGGAGATAAGGAGACTATGGCCGTCCCTTGAATCTATGAGGTCTTCTTCCTATGGCAGAAGCAACACTGTAGGATTTCTGAGATCAGATCATAAAGGTGAGGGAACTTCTACTGGCTCCCTGAAAATTCTCACCCAACCACCATACTGCCGACTGGGAGTCAGCTTTTCATTATGGTGACAAAACACCTGAGATAAACAACTTACAGAAGGAAAGGTTTATTTTAACTCTTGGCTTCAGAAGTGGCGGTACGTGGTCTTTGGGCTTTGTTGTTTTTGAGCCTGTTGACCAGGCAGAACATCATGGTAGAGCAAAGCTGCTCACCTGTTAACAGCCAAACATCAAATAGAGGGAGCAGGAGGGCCCAGGGTCTAAAGATCCCCTTCAAGGGCACGCCCCCAATGTCCAACTTCCTCCCACTGGGACTGTCTCTGACATGTCCCACTATCTCCCAGTGGAGACAGGGGCTGGAAATGAGATCTTTAACACATGGGCCTTTGGGGACATTCAAGATCCAAACTATAGCACCCATTCGGGAAGAAAGATCATACAGAGAACCTTGAGGCACCTGGAGTGACAGAAACACCTGGCCAGCCCCAGTGGCTCCTGCCACCCACTGTTTCAACTACCATCCAAATGCCATAGCGTGATAGAACCAGAGCCAGGATCTCCACGTGAGCCCTTCTCAAGTTTCTGACCCACAGAAACTGCGAGAGATGCTATGATTAGTGTTGTTTTGAGGTGTAAGCTTGGAGGGAATTCATTCCAAACAGAAAGGCATGAGAACCATCTGCAATGTTTTGAAAGCCTTTCTGTACAAGAGAAATGATATTTGGCGTGTGAAGGTGTAGCAGGTGAAACCTGCGGGAGGTAAATTTGATTTTTCATGGAGACCTCTAAGTGCAGAATTTTAGAGTTACTCAACAGTGTGTTCAGCTCCTCTTTGTTTTATTATTTTCTTTTTTGGTACCAGCGATCAAACCCAGGGGTGTTCAAATTCAAACAACTGAGCCACATCCCCAGCTCTTTTTATTTTTTATTTTGAGACAGGGGCTTGGGAAATTGCATAGGGCCTTGTTAAGTTGCTAAGGCCTGGCTTCAAACCTACAATCCTCCTGCCTCAGCCTCCGGAGTTGTTGTGATTGCAGGTGTACACCAATTATCACCATTTATCCTCTAAATCTGAGCATTGTCACTGGACATTCAAGCAGAGGATAGATGGCCATTTTGGAGACTGTAGTAGAGGGGTCTGGAAGATCCCCAGAGGAAGTTTCCAACTCTAAAAATATATAAATCCCAATAAGAGGAGGTGAACTGTTTTGAAGAAAAAACATTTAGTAAGCTCTTCTTAGAAGAGGTGAGGACAAGTGTTGGAAAAGCAGAAGGAAGGGCCACTCTGCAAAACACCAGTGGGAACTTCTTAACCACCAACTCTGCCGCTAACGCCAAGGTCGCGGGTTCGTTCCCCGTACGGGCCACCAGTTGCCGCAGTCTGGCTGGGCACAAAATCACGAGCCACTCAAGCAGGAACAAAGTTTATTTTTTGAAACTGCCGCCAATGTCCGGTACCGCCCGGGAAGATTTTTTCCACCCACGCGGCCTCCTCTCGGACCGCCGAGCGAGCTCCTCCCCCGGAACTCCCTCCTACTGTACTTCCCCAACCAATGGGAACTCTCCAGGAGTCCCGTAGCCAGCCTAGGTGAACAGCAGGAGTCCAATATCCATATGAATGCAAATCTTAACATAATCATATCATCTCAATGGCTAGCTGGCGTCACCTTTCAACCAAAAATGCCATGCATCATATACTTGGCTCTTAGCAAACTCAGTCACACCCATCTCATCCTCAGCCCTGTTCTCGTCCACTGGGGGGTTATGGGCCATTACCCTTCCTAGGTACTGCAACCCTTGGTCTCCCTCCATGCTCACACCCCACTGCCTGCTGCACCTGTCTCTTCTCCTGGTTTGCACCTGCCCTGGCTTTGTTCACCCCATCCTCACCTCTCATCTGGGTGACTGCGGCCACTCTGGATAGACAGACTGTTGCCAAATTCATGACCCTAAACAAATGCCCCAAGTTAAATTCATTAAATCCCCATTGCCTTTGGGACAAAGATGCAAGTTCTTCGACCTTAAAGGCTTTCACAATCTGGCAGAGAATGAAGGAGAAGAAGAAAGAGAGACAGAGATAGAGGATAGAGTTAGAAAAGGGAGAATTGATTAATTCCTATAACCCCAGCATATAATTCATATAACCCCAGTATCTCTAGACTGCCATAATAAACCACAAACTGGGTGGTATAAAACAACAGAAATTTGTTGTCTCCTAGTTCTGGGAGCTAGACATTCAAATTTTTTTTTAAATTTTTTAATATTTATTTTTTAGTTTTGGGTGGACACAATATCTTTATTTTATTTTTATGTGGTGCTGAGAATCGAACCCAGTGCCTCATGCATGCTAGGCGAGCGCGCTGCCACTTGAGCCATGTCCCCAGCCCCTAGACATTCAAATTTAAGGTGTTAGCAGAACCATGTTCCTTCTGAAGGTGCTAGGTAAGAATCCTTCTTTGCCTCCTAGCTTCTGGTAGGTCCCAGAAGTCCTTGGCTTGTAGCCACATCAATCTCCACCTATAGCTTCACATGGCCTTCCACTTTGTGTGTGTGCCGACCTCCTTCTTTCTCTCAAAGAGTCCAGTCATTGGATTTAGGGCTTTTCCTAACCCAGTATGACCACATCTTGATCTGCAAAGACTCTACTTTCAAGATAAGGCCTCATTCACAAGCACTGGGAGCTATGATTTGGATCTTTTGGGGAATATAACTAAACCCCCCGACAATTCCTAATGGATGGAAACTGCCCAAGCAATGACCTAGCATAGGGCTGCCAACTTGTTTGTGAAATGGTCCTGGGTGAAGTGAAGAATTTCAGGAATGGTGGAAAATAATATTAAATTGGACAGGCCCGAGAAGTTTTTGAACACCAGAAGAGCATGCATGATTGAAGGACAGGATTTTAATCTCATATCAAAATCAATATGGAAGCTGGATGGATATAGCACAGATTATTGGAAGTAAAGCTAAGAAGGTCAGTTGATAGATGTCTCCATAGCCCAAAGGTGAGAAAGTAGGCAGAGAAGCAGATTGTTAGCCCCAGGGGACTAGGAATTTTTCTGTTTTTGTCCAGCAGTAGCCAAGGGGTCTTCACTCTCCATCATGAGTGTCACGTCCTAGGATGCTCCAAACATTGTTGAACAGCTGAACGGAAGGACCTAGTAGGCTTGCAGCAGTACCAATGGGGAGGAGAAAAAAAAATGCAACAGAACCTTCAGAGGGGAGGTGACAGGTGGCCCTGTAACAAGGTGAGGGTGAGACAGTACTGCAACACTTGAGTCAGGCTCAAGGTCGTTGGGGGGAGGGGTAGCTGAGTGGTAGAGCACATGCGTAGCATGTGCCAGGTTCTGGGTTCCATATGCGTGGGACAAGCATAGTCAGGCTAATAACTTGGCACCTGTTGGAGGTAAACTGAATCCCTCTCGTTCTCGATATACCTGCCACACACTGTCCACAATAATATGTGTCTCCCGCCATTTATTCCACCTTAGCATGGCCTCTGGAGTGTGGTTCCATAACACTATTGGTGGTTGTGTTCTGCACACAGTAGGCCCTCAGTACAACGTCCATTAAATGAAAGTAGGAATGAACGGATTTCTACCTTTAGGCAAAGCCGAAAGAGCCCCTGGATGTCAACTCTGGATGTTAGACTTGTGTACGTTTCAAAACACTTGGCACATAGTGAGCACTTGTTGAACCAAATAGAATAAATCCGATTCGCCCAGCTCCGCCCTGGCAGCGCGAGGTCTGCGTTTGGCAGGATGACAGAATTCACTGCTATTAAATTCTTATGTAAGAGTTAATGACCCTCCGGCCCACTTGACATCCCTGCACGACAAGGGAAGGGAAGGGGGCGAGTGCACTATTTACAAACACGCACTGTTTGGTGGTAGAGGCACTGACTCGTTTCTAGTGTCGGTTCCCCACAGGGACCTTGGAATCCCGCTGCAAGCTCGGGCCGGGGCGCTGGGGGGCGGCGGGCCGGGGCCCTCGGATGGGGCGCATTTATCCCGCGGGCAAGGCCTGCCCACCCGGCACGGCGTGCCCGCGCCCTGCATTCCGCCCAGGGCTCTGGCTCTGCGGGTGACAGCGGTCCCCGAGGGGGACTCGAGCTCCCGGCGCGCTCCCCGGGTCCCCGCAGGCACCGGGGCGGCCTCGGCGCGGCGGCCCCACCCCGCAGGAGCAGGCGCGCGGCGCGCACTCCCGCCGCCCGGCC